TTTTTTTTTTTTTTTATTCTAGCCTTCCTGGTGTGTGACGTAGTATCTCATTGTGGTTTAGAGTAGGATTTTAATAAATATTTGCCAAAGAAATGAAAACATAAATCGGCAAATTAATGGGTCCTTTTTTACTTTGACTAACTGCCCACTTAACTATCCCTAAATATCCACTTTTCATTTGCCTTCAACATAAACCAATCCCAGGAAGTCCTGGACAACATGTTTAGGGCCTGAGAAAGTCAAGGACCATTTCAAGAACTGTAGTCAAGAACACTTCTGGAAGTCACAAGCCATTGAACTGTAACTGCAATTTGGGAAAGAAATCTGTTTCTCGAATGCATATGTATAACAGTCTAGGGATACTTGAGGGCAGATGGGCCATTTTTCCTAGGTGAGTTACAGGACAGGCTTGGAAGGCACGGTTGACGGATGTGGAAGACATTTTAGCAGCTGATAGATACTATGAAGTAGCTGAGTCTGGCTCCCCCAGAGTGGTCAGACCTCTGAGGATCCAGGCCATATTCTTTCTTTCTCTCGATTTCCATGATCCACTCAGTACTTTGCAAACACTGTGTTTAATAATGTGCTCTGACAAATGTCACCGTGATAGAGATTTTATGATCTTGGGTTATGTTTTTATCTATGACAAAACTTCTTTTCTTTTTAGCTCCTGAGTACATTAAAATATAAATGCAGACCCTGCTTTCCCCAGAATAACACTGCCTTTTTTCTTACAAGTAATAAATTTATTTCCCCCAAATGTCCCCCCATCCCAAGGACTGTTGATTTAAAAAAATTTTAATATTTATTATTTTGAGAGAGAGGAGAGTGCAAGTGGGGGAGGGGCCTAGAGAGAGAGAGAGAGAGAGAGAGAGAAGATCCAAAGCAGGCTCTGTGCTGACAGCAGACAGCCTGACACAGGGCTCGAACCCACAAACCCTGAGATCGTTACCTGAGCCAAAGTCGGACACTCAACTGACTGAGCCATCCAGGTGCCCCCCAAGAGCTATTGATTTTGGGTAAGACGTAGTTCAGCCAGTTAGGTGGCATACATTTTCAGATGCCTCCCCAATATTCTGAGCCAGGCTGACACAGATTTGCACAGTCACAAGATGAGATTTCAAATTTCTCTTATTAAAAAAAAAAAGACGAACGTATCAGTTGTGTGTGTGTGTGTGTGTGTGTGTGTGTGTGTGTGTGTTTAAGAGGAAGTCCAGGGAAGGACAGAATGAGAGGGAAGAGTGGGAGGCAGAAGTGACTTGTGAATGGGAATACGCTGTGGGACTGTCATCGTGGAGTGGGGTTTGAGAGAGAAAGTGGAGTAGGGTGGGCATGGGAGTTTTATATGAATGAATGAATCAATAAATGAACTGGCCATGGTCCATGAACACAGGGGATTATGATCTAACTTCTAACTCTTTAGAATTCACCTGTTAGGAGTGTCTCCCTTACCCCAATAGCCTTCACCCAAAAATCTGTTATGAGAACCAATCTTTGGTGTCTCCTAACACCCTGTTGATGCCTGGCTGCTTTGGCTATGGGCTGTCTGGTGTCTGGTAACCTGTAAAAAAGGTGGTTGCTCTCAGGAACGGTGGATTTCATGCAATGTAAATTAATGTCCCTCTAGGCAGAAACTAATTCTCTGCCTAGAGGAGAAAGATTTCAAGGCTCATGGAGTAATTACACGAATTACACAGGACTGCTTTCACCGTCTTACTGCAAAGTCATCGACACAAATGGAATGTGTTTAGAGTCTGCCACTGGTCACAAAACCAAGTTTGGGGCAATTTATAATCTTCTGAAGTGAAAACTATTAAAATGGGGCATGAAAATAATGAGTAGTGACAGATCATGAGCTTTCTCACTACAAATGAAGGCACATCATGTAATCCACAGAAGGAAAAAAATAAGTGTCCTATTTAATTTTTGCTGCTACAGTGTTTTTAAGACATAATAGAAGAAAAAACGTTTTTATGAATAATCGGTGATTATCTGTAATAGCAATGTGTTCAGCCTGCTTTGCAAACTGAGATCAAAGTCTCCTAACCCTTTGATACATTTTACACTGTATTTTCCTGTTTCCCCCTCTAATTTCTACCACACTGTAATTGACATTAAAATGTAACAGCCTATATTTTTCTTTCCAGTGGAAAGCACTGTTATTTTAAATAAAATCTAAAAGCATGGTGTAATATTTATTCACATTTAAATTATAGAGACCTCTAAGGAATATGAGTTATTTCTTAGAGCTTTTAACGTATTCATTTTTGTAAAGCACTGAATATTTGGAACCTACCTTTGTAAGTCTGTGCCTGGATATGCTTATTATGATTATTGTGGATTTGTTTCAATGTTTTGTTTTCTTATATTTTCCCATTCACTTACCTTTGAGGCAAGTTCTCCTGGCTCTTTCTTTTCTAAAAATCCTGGGACCTTTTTAATTTCAGGAAGTTCAAAACTCCATATATACTGTAATATCAGCAACAGATTTCCATAGACGACCATGAAAGGAGAGCTGATCATGGCATATTTTCTTCTGTTGCGAATCATCCAAAGGGTGCATGACCAAATCAACAACACAAAAGTCAACCAGCTGTGATAGGTGATGCTCCAAGCCTTGAGGGTGAAAGGAAGAGGAAACACAATGATGGTCACTACAATGTATAGTCCCCCGCTCTGGTACGTTAACAGTTATCTAAAAGGAGGGGCATTTAGGTGGCTCAGTCAGTTAAGCGTCAGCCTTCTGTTCAGGTCTTGATCTCACGGTTTGTGGGTTCGAGCCCCATGTCGGGCTCTGTGCTGACAGCTCAGAGCCTGGAGCCTGCTTCAGATTCTGTGTCTCCCTCTCTCTCTCTCTCTGCCCCTCCCCCTCTAATGCACTGTCTCTCTTTCTCAAAAATGAATAAATGTTAAAAAAAATTAAAAAAAAGTTATCTAAAAGGAAAAAGTCAATAATATTCAAACTAAGGAGAGGAGACAGTGGTGAAATCATGGAGAGATACCCCAACCTGGGGCATAGGGAGAGAACCGAAGAGAAAGACTGATCTTGCTGAGAAGAGCATTATTTTTTTAACTTCCTGCAGGGAACAGAGCCAACGGCAAATGTATGGCGGGTCTTCCTTCTAAATATTTTTCACTTTAGGTACAAAGATACAAAGGTACACCCTACTTTGCAGTATTAAAAGCAACTGTAAGTGATCTATCCCTTCTTTTTCCAAACTAGACTGGAGAGTTATTTAAGAGTGCCAAGGAAACGTGGCCATAAAAATTTCCTCATATTATTTCCTCTCAGCAATTTGCAAATTTGTTCTATAAGAGAGCTAGCTTTTTAAGTGGTGAACTTACTTAAAATTTATTTAAAATTGTTGGTTGAAACACGTGATAAACATAAACTGGAAATTAAAGTTGCTTTTATTGAAATTAGGTGAGTGATTGCTAACTATTAGCAAGTCTGAATTATTTTCATGAAAATATTATTTCTTGGAAATACTGTTTATCAAAGGTTAGGTAGGTAACAGTTAATGCACTTGCATTAAGTAGTGTATTTAATTCATTTATCCCGGTACGAAATACAGATGTAATGGCCATTCGTTTGGGTGTGACCCAGGAAAATCATCTCCGCAGATATTACAATTCCAGCAAGTCTGTTCCCCTGCACCCTATTCTTGGGAAGGTGGGGGTGGAAGAGGAAGAAAAACAAGTTATGAGGATTTTTTTAAACCTCTTTCCTGTGTAGTGCCTAAGTGACATATGACTTTATGTTGTGGTATTTGGGATGCTTCTGCATTATGTTCAGTTTCCAGATTGTCTGACAGTTTACTGTATTCCGACTTTATATTTTTGAATAAATACAAGTACCATTCTAATAGACTTGGCTCCTCAGGACTACTTTTTCTGTCTGTGATTAAAAGTCTGTCACATGGGACACTTCCATGGAAGGCAGGCTCTTTTAAAACATTAATATGATGGCTCCGTTAAAACAATGAATATGGCACCAGACAGGGGCATGTCTTTAATGAAGGATCTGCTCTCTTAAGTTGTTTTTACAATAGATTCTTTTTTATACTAAGTAGCAAAATGTGTAATCAAGGTTTTTGGGGTTCCTTTTTAAGCTCTATTGCTTTCCAAAAAAAAAAAAAAAAAGACCAGACTTGTTTTTAGAAAGAGAGAAGAAAGGTATATACTCTTTTGAGTTCTGAATCAGAATTGTAAGTTGCATTTACATTTAATAGTTTGAATTTGGAATTTTGCTACAGTTTAGAGGATGACATGTCGAAAATGCCAGAAAGCACCCAAGAGCACAGAATTTACATTAAAGAAGAGAGTTTGCAATCACCTAACGAGCTATCTTTCATTTCTTTTAGCACAGAGCCTGCCACAGGGTTCAAACCCACGGACCGTGAGGTTGGGTGCCCAACAAACTGAGCCACCCAGGCACCCCTGAGCCATCTTTCATTTCAAGGAGCTTTCTTTCTGCCACCCCTCTCTCAGATGTACCGCTGTCCTTACTAGAAGCTGAAGCTGATTGGACACACAGGTTGGTTCATTTGGTTCATCTTGAGGGGAGGCCTGGAGAAACCGGGTTCAGGCATTTCCCGCCCCCCCCGCCAGAGGTATAGAATATCTTCATTCTATTATCATTAAAGGTGTTCATGGGATCTCACCATTGACCACAAAATGTAGAAGAGTCTTGTGTTAGGTAAGTGTTAGGTGTCTCAAAAATAAATCAGATTTCCCATAAAAGTTTGTTTTTAGGAAGGGGACAAATTAGACTTTCTTATAGCCCCTCTCTCTAGGCCAAAGGATGATGGTGATGATGATGATGATAATGAGGATGAGGATGAGGATGAGGATTTCTGAAACTGTGATGCTGGGGACGGAAGATGTACCTAGAAGTGAGTACAAACATGCATCAACTGAGCACTGAAAATCGGAAAAGCTCTTGGGAACTCTGGCTGCTGGATGTTCATATCAGTAAAAATTTTATTGCAGCTAATATGGACTACAGTTTCACTGAAATTTAAGATAAGTTGTGAATGTAATTCTCCCATGTGAAGAAAATAAAAGCAGTTTATGGACAATCTTGAACACCTTCAGCGTCACATAGAAAAACTACCCAATAGATCCTTTTAAACTGGCAAAACAGGCAACCGTCTCACTTGTAAGGCTAATTTGAGAGAAATGCATTAATATTTAAAAGGAGGTTAAATAAAACAGAACCTGATTTAAAAAAATTTTTTTTAATGTTTTTGTTTATTTTTGAGACCGGGAGAGACAGAGCATGAGCAGGGGAGGGGCAGAGAGAGAGGGAGACACAGAATCCAAAGCAGGCTCCAGGCTCTGAGCTGTCAGCACTGAGCCTGATGCGGGGCTTGAACTCACGGACTGTGAGATCATGACCTGAGCTTAAGTTGGATGCTTAACCGACTGAGCCACCCAGGCGCCCCAGAACCTGATTTTTTTAATGTTTATTTATTTATTTGAGAGAGAGAGCATGCAAGCAAGCAGGGGAGGGACAGAAAGAGAGGGGGACAGAGGATCCGAAGCAGGCTCTACTCTGACAGCAGAGAGTCTGACGTGGGGCTTGAACTCATGAACTGGGAGATCGTGACGTGAACTGAAGTCAGACACTCAACTGACTGAGCCACCCATGTGCCCCAAAACCTGATTTTTGAAATCTGTAGTATAAAGATGCTGGGAAAAATAAATACCCAACCATTCTCTGCCAAGATACTGGAACGATTAGGTATCTGTGCCAGTCACGAGAGGATGGTGGGGCATTTCTTGAGCATGCCGCTGTCCCATTTCATACATACCATCATGGCAATAAGGGCACAGATGTAACTTTGTTTCATAATAAACTGGAACACAGAGACCATGGCATGAACTTTAACACTTCGTTTCTCCTCATGGCTCCTTTCCTCCTCAAAGTCTTCCTTCTCCTCTCCTTCTTCCTCTTTCTTTTCTAGATGGAGAAAAAAATTATGTAACTATTTATGCTAATATGTGAATTCTGGATAAGGGTCCCAACTGCTGCACCACATATATGGTTTTAACAGAGACTTTTATTTAAGACTTCAGAGATTCTTTCCAACTGACAAAGCCCTTCAAATTCAAACAGAATGGCCTGGCCAGCGTAATGGAACCCAGCACTCAGAAATCCCGGAAAGAAAATTTCAATTTGAGAGGAATGGAAAGCAGCCTCAAAGATGGTCCCTAATAATCTCTACCTCCTGGTCTTCATGCCCTTGTGTAGTCCTCATCCCTTGAGTGTGGGTGGGACCTTTGATGAGCTTCTAAAAAGTAGGAGGGATGGAATATGACTTCTAGGATTAAGTTTAAAAAGACTATGGCCTTGCCTTAGGCACCTGGGCACTTTCTCTCATTTCTCACTCATTCTGAGAGAAGCCAGCTGCCATGTTGTACACTGCCCTAAGAAGAGGCCCGGGTGACAGGGAACTGCTGCCTCTGGCCAGCAGTCAGCAAGAACTTGAGGTCAGTCAACAACTACATGGGTAGATGTGAAAGTAGATTCTCCTCAGGTGAGCCTTCAGATGAGACCACAGCCCAAGCCAGCAGCTTATCTACAACATTATCAGAGACCTTGAGTCAGAGAAGCCCATCCTAGTCACACCCGATTCCTGCCCTACAGCAACTATGACACTAAATGTTTTAAGCCCTTAGGTTTGGCCATAATTTGTTATTCAGCAATAGATAATTAATACACGCAGTATCTAGAGTATGGAGAGAATGAAGGTGAAGAAAACCAACCAGCCAGCTAACCAACCAACCATCCAACCACGTTGCCAGCATGAGCTCAGTGGCCCATGGTTTCCTAGGTTATGCCGAAGCAGAAGAGTCACACTAAGGATGAAAGATCATCTTAAAAAGCAAGAGAAAGTGCGGAGGGCTGAGGAGAAGGGGACCAGCAATCGGAAAATACGGGCATAGCACTTAAAGAAGGATTTCTTCTCAAGATCCTCCCCTACTTGTCAGGAAAACTAATTTGAATTCAAAGATGAAGTAATGAGTGCCACATCCCTTCTGTCCTCCTGTTTAAATTAAATGGGCTATGTATATCTGGGTCACACCAGGGAGTCGCTCTACACCATGCTAAGGAAACAGAAACCAGTGAAGAACCAGTGGCCATGCACAGCACCTTGTGCAGGCTCCAGAAGTGAGTCTCTAAGCGAGGGGCTGGTATTTCCTCCTACAGAAGCCTGCTGCCTTCCACCCTTCCACTGTGGGGGCTGAGGATTATAAGGGGAAGGCCACAGATTGGACACAGTGATGAAGAAACGGAATCTGATGGATTTTACAGCTCGTGGCGTTACTTCTCTGCTTGTAACACTGTCTGCATATATACATTCAAATTTAAAAATAACTGTCCAGCTTTTATGTTACCTTTGAAAGTTCAACTTATGATGTGAGTATGTGTGAGTGTGCCTTGTCAGCAGCCAAAATTGTATTCATCTCTTTTTACGTTAGCTATGTGTAAAGAGAAGTGTATCTGGCTGTGACCTGAGCGTCCCAGACTTTAAAAGTCACAAATGCTGGCTCTCGGCCTGCCCCGTGTGATTCTGATGCCAAAGCACTGAAGACCACATTGCAGAAAGTACTGGATTTTCTTGAGATATTCAGTAAGTGAACTGCAAACTAAAACACTTGCAAGTAGGAAGCAGAAATGGGTAATTAACCCATAGAGTCTGGGGCTCTGTGGAGACGGCAGGTGCCATCTAGGGCTGGGGGTATGTGTGGGCTGCTGGGTTAGGGAAGTGAACCTGGTCTGACCTTACTGAGGAAGGCTAGATAGTGTGACTAACCCTTTGTATTGCTAAGTAGATGCCAGGTCAGAGGCAACCTCGGGGTACACTGATAACTATGCAGAACAATACAGTAGAGTAAGTCTGATGAAGAATTATGAACAAAAAATACATTAAGCTTAATGTACCAATCACAGGCTGGATAGTTGCTTGCCATTTACTTAAGGTAGGATCAGGTGTAACAACTCCAGGGTCAGTTCCATATAAATAGAAAAATCCAGTACAGTTTTGCAGCCACTTTGATGCAAACTGCGTACTCTGCCTTTTCCCCCCAACAGTAAACTTAGCTAATTCTGTCGTTATGAACTGGTGATTGGCATGATCCCCGTCAGCGCAGTGACAACAGTGGTTGAGTCAACGCTTGCCTCGCAGGAGTGAGGGGCTAGTGTTGCCAGATATTCACATTCTTCAAGAGATTCCAGAAATTTCCGTATCTCAGAGCTGCAGCTTTTAAAATGTGGGTTACTTTTTTTTTTCATTTTAGAAAATGCTGCATAGGCCAAACAAAACAAAATAAAACACAACCCAAGTCAAAGCCACCAATTTGTCATCTCTAGTATCCGCCTGCTTTCCTTCAACATAATAAACTGAGAGAAACGCGAAAAAAGGCCTAGTACAAGTTTGAGCCCTCTCCTTTTTTTTTTTATAGACAAAGTAAACTCTTTCTAAAAATGGTCATCCATTAACCAGCAAAACTATTAACCATGATTACAATATCAAATTATACAAAAACCCAAACACACGCACACACACAAAGGTTTAACACTGTAAGTTGATGTGTTTGAAATAACTGTTTACCTTTTATTTTTCAGAGTTTGCCCCAATTATACCATTTATTTTATATACAAGGATAAAATACACAGAGAAATACCCTAGGGAAAAATAGAGAACTTGAGGAAATGAGCTTAATGATACTGACCATGGAAGACAATGCCCGTGTTAAAAGGAGAAAGAACCAACACAATAAACAATAAACAAGATACAGAGAGATGTTGAGCGTGTGCACGAGAGGAGATCAAAGTTGAGGTATGATGTGCATCCCTTACCTGAGGAGTCTTCAGAGGGCTCCCACCGGTACTGTGGGGTGGAGTACAGGTCGGCTTTGGCGGGGCCGTTCTCTACGGGGAGACTGGGGTGGATGGTGTGGTAGTCTACGGGATTGCCATTCACGGTCACCAGCAGGCCCTGCCAGGGGAGCACGGGGCAAAGGCACAGCTGTGACAGCAGTTCCAGTTTTCAATGTGGATATACCACCTCCTTCCCTTACGCTAGAAAGGCATAACTCAACAGTGAAGAACTAAACGGAAGCCGGACAACTAATCAAGTATCCGCTTTAGAAAGATGAATTGCGTACATTCATTCCTGTGTCCAAATCTATTTTCCACAGAGTGGTCCCAGTAAAAATTTAATCTGATCTTGTCTTGCACTTCTGCTAAACACCATGCAAGGCACCCTCTGTTCTAGGTATCAAGTGTAAATCCTGGAAAAGGCTGGCTGAGCCTTGCTGATCTGGTGTGATCATCTCTCCAGCCTCTGTTCTGATGGCCTCTCTCCCAGCCATCCCTCCAGCTAGTGCAACTCCAGATGGTTCCTAGGCCCCAGCCAGAGCACCCCTGTCCACACTTAGCACATCTGCGCATAGGACTAATGTAGTCTCATTAGCTGGCACCCCCTCTTGAGATCATTGCTGATGCTTTGCAATTTCTGTGCTGAAGCATTTCGTACACTAAGTGCGATTTCTTGTTTTGTTTTTTTTTGTTTGTTTGTTTTTTTGCCTCTTTGGCTTTACGATATAAATATACATGTGTGTGTGTCCATGAACATGCAAGACTTCCTATTCAAATTATGTAATAGGTCTATCTGCAGAGCAAAATGCTTTTACAAACTCTCCAATGTGGCTTTTTACAAGTTTAAATATATTTTGTATGACTATACGCACGCTCATGTTACATGAGTTAGTGTTTCAACAGCAATAAACCAGATATAATTTCTACAAAAAATTATTCAAAAACTTCTGGAAATTTTATAGATTATTAAAATATACTCAAAGGAGCTAATTCCATTTATATCACTTTTACATCACTTACACGAGCATAAATGATAATTCTAAAAATATACTAACATCAGATGGTTTGTAGTCATCTTGGGTCATGGATAAAAGCTGCGAAAAGCAATGCAGGACAGCAATGTTAATATGTAAGCAAAAAGCATGGTAAAGTTTATACATATCTATAAAGTTTTACTTTACACATACCCATTCTTTCAACTAGCTGGATGCTAGTATGTTAAAACTGCCATGCAGAATATAAAGGGACAAGTCATTGAACTGGCTGTTGCTGTTTATTACAACCGTTTTACAGCTGCTGATGTTAACGTTTAATTGTGACAGCAAACAACCAGTCATAAACCACATGACTTCAAAAGCTGATCATGTTTTTCAACTGTTTTGTTCTAATAGAATAAGCTGCTTCATTTAATACTCCTAAGACCCTTTGAGACGTCTGCAAAATTCTGAAAATATTTACTTTTCAATAGAAGTTTCATAATAGAAGTTTCATAATAAAGCAAAATTGATTTGTAATGTGTGGGGTGAGATTATTTTTAAGATTTGCATATTGTCTACCACAAAATAATTATTACATGACTGTGCTTTAAATTTTTTTTTTTTCAACATTTATTTATTTTTGGGACAGAGAGAGACAGAGCATGAACGGGGGAGGGGCAGAGAGAGAGGGAGACACAGAATCGGAAACAGGCTCCAGGCTCTGAGCCATCAGCCCAGAGCCTGACGCGGGGCTCGAACTCACGGACCGCGAGATCGTGACCTGGCTGAAGTCAGACGCTCAACCGACTGCGCCACCCAGGCGCCCCAGACTGTGCTTTAAATTTTTTTGAACGTTTATTTATTTTTGAGAGAGAGAGAGAGAGAGAAATGTGAGAGGGGGAGGGCAGAGAGAGAGTGAAACACAGAATCAGAAGCAGGCTCCAGGCTCTGAGCTGTTAGCACAGAACCTGATGCGGGGCTTGAACTCACGAGCTGTGAGATCATGACCTGGGCTGAAGTCGGAGGCTCAACCGACCAAGCCACCCAGGCACCCTAATGACTGTGCTTTTAAACTATATTAGTGCCAGGTGGTTTGGACCCTCCTCAAATAATAAGTGTTTGCTGTTCTGTGTTCTGCGTGATTCTCCGACCATTTTGGATCAGGACTCATTTATAATTATAAACATCACGGAGAGTCCCAAAGAGTTTTAATAATATGGCTCTTATCCATCAATATCTACTATGCTAGAAATTAAAATTGAGGCATTTAAAAATATTTGTTAGTTTGTTCAATTTTTCTTAAAATTTAACATGCTAATAAAAATCATTTTGTTCAAACAGTTGTATTTAAAAAAACCAAACAGCGAAAGAAGTGGTATTATTTTATACTTTTGCGTATCTTTTTAATATCTGGCGTAAATGAAGACAGCTGGATTCTCATATCTGTTCGTGTGCTCAATCTGCCATGAGGTGTTATTCTGGCTGAAGTATATGGGGAAAATTTGGCTTCAGCGAGCTATGTAGTTGGAAAAGGAAAGAGTATTTCAGAAGTCTAGCCAGGCAATTGTGGGCAGTTTTTTTGGTTTCTTTTCTTTTTAATACTACACCAAACTCAACAAGTGGTAGTAACCGGAAGATTAGTTGCAACATGGAATCTGAAAGTCTATCAGTGAACTTTTTACACTCTGTTACCTTAAAGTCCAATGACGCATTTCACGTGTTGGTGATTTGCTCCAGTGAGTTATACAGTCTCCCAAATACTGACACATTTCGTTACACAATATTTAAAACACACACGTGTTAATATCACCACTGATCTCATCAGAGAGGTGCTCAGTATTGGGAAGTTTCCCAGCTCTGAAGAGTGGACGCAAGTTTTCTAATATTCTAATCTTCACTCATAAGTTCAAGTGTTACCATTGGCAATAAATGCTGTCTGTTGCGTGCCTTGAAGTGACGGGCTCACTTCTCTTCTTTTCCAGTAACTATCTGCCAAATACCCATCCCTGAATCACCATAATTTGTCTCCTAGCAGCTCTGTCAAGTGAATCTGGTGTGCGGTGGGCAACGGCTAGTTCAGTTCACGCTTCCTACAACCAGCCAAGTGCTTTTCGCCAAGATGCTCATCACACGTTTGCAGGCGGTACTTTGTGGCGACTTCCCTTTTTACCACATGGGATATTAAACAGATGTGAGCTCTGATGTGGAGATTTAAAAAAAAAAACGGTAACTATTTCTGGTTCATCAAGGATATTCTTTTTTTTTTTTAATTAATTTTATCTCATCAAGGATATCCTTAAATGAAATTGGCCTTCCTGCTCTGATTTCTGTGAGTGCGTGGTGGGGAAGGGCAGGACCGCGGCTGTAGGGTTTCGTGCCACGGCCTCAGTCTGTGTTTTTGTGTCACCAGAACAAAGGTCAGCACAGGGGGAAAAGGCACATATTTTAAATATTATTTCAAAAGTAGTTTTGAACCTGTGGATCCCTGTGAGGGTCTCAGGAATCCCCGGAGGTCCACGGACCTCAATTTGAAAAACTCCTGAGCCATCCTCTATCGCTATCTGTCCTTAGGAACAGGGGCAGGATAACCGGACACATGACATGATGAGAGAAAGAGAAAGGTCCCTGGAAATCCTCACACATCTAAGGGAACCACATGTACTCCGCACAACTGTCTGCTGTCTTAAGCAGCCCATTCACTGTGTAGCCCTCTCTCTTGATATGACATGACATGACGTGACATGACATGACATGACAGCCATGCTTAGAATAAGACCATGTGCCTTAAGGAAACTAGCCTGCCACCAAATACATCAGAGAATCTACTCCTCAATTCTCTAACATGCCAGGAAGTAAATGCTTTGTGTTTGTCATTACCACGTTACAAATGGGCAATTTTTAACAAGTCAATATGGCGCTGAGTTGAGTTCAAAATGGTCAATAAAGAATCAAAAGGTTACGTGAATTACCCATTGTGACTCACTTTTCCTCATCAACCCATACTGTTGCCTCAGAGTGGTAGGAGATACTTAATCATATTCGTATCGACTGTTTTGTTCTTCTCTAAGTGGTTACTTGAGTTATTATTGGGGCCGGCTACCCGATACAGTGAAATCATTTTCTGCAATGTATTACAACACTAACACTTTCCCTGCCAGTTGGGTTGCTTTGTTATATTTTGTTAGTTTAAAATACAAAGCTTTTTTTTTTTTTTAATTAAGAACAATCTTTCTTTTTAGGATTAAGAGACCTCAGTAGAAAGTGCTGCAATATGAAATGGTGTTCTCATGGGGTATTATGGAACCATGTATTTCCTTCAGAAGCACTGGGTTCTCCTCTCTGAATAGAGCGCTCTGCTCTCGAGACATCAAAATCAACCTATTTCTATAAACTATGAGCAATCTGACTTTGCACGTATCAAACTATTTCTATAAACTATGAGCAATCTGACTTTGCACGTGATACATGGCTCATGTTCAGCAACATTAAGACAAAAGTAGCAAAATTCGTTAGGAAAACAGAAACTGATTTCTTGTGGCTTACTTTTCTCTCATCCGTTGGGTACTGTGTGGCATACCACAGGCTTCGCCTCCTCTCAGCTGTTATTTGGATGGGGCTACAAGCCAGGGTTCTGTCCTCTTCTTTGGTCCTGTCATCCTGCACCTAAGACACAGAATAACCCACAGGGCCAGCTCTGCTTCCTGGAGCAGTTCCCTCTGTGGCTTGGGTGACCCAGAGAGAGCTTTTCGTCTTTGCTCCAGTTTTTAAGTTAATGTATACAATATGTGGGGTTTTATCAAGACGCTTTGGGCATGACACCAATACCACCCTGTAAATGCTAAGCACATCAATGTTAAATGTTCCTGATCCCTCCTAGGCCCCATGAATCACAGAGATACGCTTCAGTGTTAAATAGCCACAGCTTCTCGCTGTGTATTCCAAACTGTAGTAGAAGGCAGCTATGTACAGGGTTCTTAAAGGAAGAACTTCCAAAAAAGTGCTCAATGAACTGTGTAAGCCATCCATGGACAATCTTTAATTAAGAAGAAATTTATTAAAGGTGGAATCATCTAGAGCTTATACACATGAGTAAGGAAGAACATATCTAATGCACAAAACTGTCACCTTGCCTTATGGGACACTGGCCTAAATTAGGCAATTGGTCTAGAAGAGATGATGATGGAGAGAGTGTAAGGGGCAGAATACACTGGGTGCTTTTGTATGGTTTCTGAACAAAAGTGCTCCAAAAAAGGGCTTTACCACACCGTTGACACCGGAGGGCAGGAAGGGAACTTAGCCTTAGTGCCCAATTTCCTGGTTCTAGTGTGCCAGGGTAGAGTAGTCATGGGGGGCACCCAAATGCCCTGGTGGGAGCCCATATATTATTTAACTCTCGACACCTGTTTCTGTTTCTGTCTCTCTCTCTCTCTCTCTGTCTCTCTCTCTCTCTGTCTCTCTCTCAAACATGCATCATAGACTTTTACCTCAGGACTCACATTTGATAGCTGACATTTTTCATGAAGGGTGCCAGGTCATCTGGAACTATGATATAACCAGCTACCTGCCTTCCATCAGTGCCTCAATGACAAAGTGCTGTGTCCCAGCACATTTAAAATATAGGCCCTTTGAAATGTTGACACTGGTATGAATTAGGCCCTGTTCTCCACACACGCTTCTAGACACTGTGGTCTGTAATCTTGCTATTAACTCTACCTTCCTTCATCCCCAGATGGCCCAAGGCTGAGGAAGCCAAATGTCTCTTGGGCCTATGGGACTATAATGTGGCCTTCACCCACTATGGAAGCATGACAACAGGGGTCACATGCTCCTGGCATGCTGGGGGTGCTGAGATACCCCCCAGAGAAAGTGAAGGACACCTGTGACTCTTATTAACTTGAATGCCTTAATTTCCATCCCTCATAGGACACTGTTCAGAGACCATCCCCGTAACATATTTTAATTTCTTTTGTATCCACTTTCATTTGTGCAATGTGCACACCCTTTACCTTCTGTGTGTTTGTGGACGAAATGAACACAATGACTTCACTTGAGAGCATTTTACTGGCACATTCAAACTTTGAGAACTGGAGGAAACTGTGACCATAAAATGATGGGGATTCCTTATGACCCCAGAAAACATTTTGTTACATGAAGCTGCTATCGATGGCCCAAAGACACCATATGAGAATCCTGTGAACAAGGCTGCCTCTGTGGCCCTTGGGTCTGCCTTCCCAGTGGGGACAATGGATCACCAGTGGGGCACAGGACAGCGCCCCATTTCTGCAGGTAGCAGTTCTGCTGGGGACGGACGAGACACGCGTCTCACCCAGTTCCACTGTGCTATGTGACTTGGATCCCACTTACTTGTTTGGACTGCTTTTTCTCTTCTGGAACGTCCAGTTCCCCCGGGGCACCTTGCCTAGGGCAATGCTCTATGCCTGGCCCCCAGCTTCATGTCTGAGAGCGTTTGCTTTCAATAAATATTTGCTGTCTGCTTGTCAGATGAACTGAATGGATGTGTAGATACAGTCTTGTGGGTGTGAACACAGAAAAAGCCCTAACCTAGAAGTGACAGGAGAGGAGGCGTGACTTCACGCAGATGGGCTTCCTTTCAGTGAGCTCCCCCCGCCCCCCAGAAGGTGCTGGATGAGAGGTGTGACCATCGTTGTCTACACTACTTTCCTCCCTCATGTGCCAACAAGCTCCCTTACAACTCAGCTTCTTATAGTCAATTATGGGGAAAAATGAAAGGGGCTGATGTTTTCTGTCACCAAAAAAGGAAAAGAGAGAAGCTACCCAGACTCTCTGGTCCTGCCCTCAAAAGTGCCTTGCCCTTGTTAATACCTCACAGGAATAAATCACTCCTCTGTCGTGCCTGAAGGAGACCCCCAAGTCCCCATGCCTCACAGTGGGGGTACTCAGAAGGCTACAGGCCCCGCTGAGAGCTGGGGTGTCCCTATCTCATCCTCAGACGTTAGAGGTCAGAGAAGTTTCTGAAACTCCAGTCACCATGATAACAGGCTGTGTAGTCACTGAAGCTCTCGCTTTGCTGTCAAACATGAGTTTGACTCTGATTCCTACCGCTCAGACCAATGGACCTCTCTAACCTCGTTCTCCTCATCTCCAAGATGGGTATGATACTATTCTAATTCTTTCAGAGTTGTGCAGTGAATTCAGTGAGATAATGTCTATGGACACCATCGTATGGCATTAAGTGCTCAATGCAAATGTGTTCCATTCTCCTCACCAGGGACCATTCTCAGCAGCACGTGGTGATGTATTGAAGAGACCAGGCTTTGTTATGAGAGCACTTGCATTTGCATAGTGCTCTGTGCTGAAATAAGGCACCAGAACTAGAACACTCCAGTTGTTTTGGAATATAGCCTTGACCGCTCAGTAGTTAGTAGGAATGAACCACTTCTCCTGGAGTTTCCAGGTTCCTTGGCATATCAGATCACCAAAACCCTTTTATCCTTACAAGGGGTTCCTGCAGCCAGATGCGGATCAGAGTTGCCAGCGTATAGTACATCACCAGCAGGACTATGGGGTTGGCATGGTGATACCATGACAGGTCTGGGTTTGCTACGATCTTCCACGTGCTGGAACAGTCCGTTTGAATGACTGATTTGATACCAAACAACCTGTTTAAAAACAAAGAAAAACATCAGAAAAATACAATAAACTATATGTCCCTAACATAAAATAAAAGCAGGTTTTGGGGGGCGCCGGGGTGGCTCAGCCGGTTGAGCGTCCGACTTTGGCTCAGGTCATGATCTCGCGGTTCGTGGGTTCCAGCCCCGCGTCGGGCTCTGTGCTGACAGCTCAGAACCTGGAACCTGCTTCAGATTCTGTGTCTCCCTCTCTCTCCGCCCCTCCCCTGCTCGAGCTCTGTCTCTCTCTCTCTCAAGAATAAATAAACATTACGAAAAATTAAAAAAAAAATCTTGTTTTTAATATACTCATGAGCTAGTCCTAGGTTAATCCATCCTACTCTAGATATTTCATTACTCTTATATATACAACTACATCTTTGTTAGTTTCAATTTTTTTAATGTTTTTTTTTTTTTTGTTTTTTTGAAGTCTGAACAGACCAGAGCAGGAAGGGCAGAAAGAAGAAGGAGAGAACACAAAGGAAAACAACTCAGGCTCTGGGCTGTTAGCACAGAGCCCGACGTGGGTCTTGAACCCACGGACCGTGAGATCATGACCTGAGATGAAGTCGGACACTTAACCAACTGAACCACCCAGGTCCCCCTATACAACTACATCTTTAAATGACATACGTATGCATGTACATAATATACATATAAAATATACATCCTGAAATCATATATATATACACACATATATATATATGAGTGTGTGTGTGTGTTAGTGTGTGTTAGTATGTGTGCATGTGTGCAAAATCGATGCCAATATTGTTTTCATACTGGTTGAAAAATCTAATACTATCTAATCCAATACTATGTAATATTAATACCATTAATCTAAGTCCTTGCTCCTTTTAAAAATTTACATTTAAAAAATATTATTTATTTTTGGGAGAGTGCAAGTGGGGATGGGACAGAGGGGGACAGAAGATCTGAGAAGGACTCTGCATTGACAGGTTGACAGCGGTGAGCCCAGTGTGGGACTCGAACTCACGAAGCACAAGATCATGACCTGAGTCAAAGTCGGATGCTCAGCTGACTGAGCCACCCAGGTGCCCCTAGAAATTTACATTTTAATTGCCATTGAACCCTATTAAATCCCCGCATTACTGAAATGTCAAGTATGTGGTAACATGTTACTAAGTTCAGCTAAATGAGCACTTATTTTGTTTTTAGCAGGATTTAGCATTAGCTCTTCAGCTAATGCTGATGTTTTTGGGCAAATATTGAAATTGGACTCAGTTCTGTGATTCAGTCATAAAAGCCAGATTATTATATACTAGAGTTTCTGGAAGATACGTTTCTGTCAAATTTTATTTATGGGCAATTTATCTTAAAGCCTTATAATTAATTCTTTATTTTGAAATACAACTTTATGAGGCTTATTAAATTTTGAAATGATTTTATGTTATTTCTACTATATAACAGAATGAATCTGATTAGATATTGGGAAATTATATAGACATGATTCATTTAGAAATTCACTTTATATGGACTTTTTCTAAGAAAGGATTTTACAAAGTGAATAAAACTTTTACATGAAATGAGTCTCGTATCTCTCTCGGTGCCTGGGCGGCTCTGTCGGTTAAATGTCCTTGATTTTGGCTCAAGTCATGATCTCATGGTTCATGAGATCAAGCCCCGCCATTGGGCTCTGTGATGACAGCATGGAGCCTGCTTGGGATTCTCTCTCCCTCTCTTGCTCTCTGCCCCTCCCTCTGCTCACGTGAGCTCTCCCTCTCAAAATAAATAAATAACCATTAAAAAAACACAAAAAGTGAGTCTCATGTCTTTCTACTGTTTGTATCTTTCATATGTGAACTTCCTTTAATTTTTAAGTTACGTTCTTCATTCAGTTATAAGCTCTTCAAGGACTGCATGCCCATCACTTGTAAGACCACTTGGAAAACCTCTCAGGGCTATTACTGTTTTCTCGTATGAGGCTAGTGCCGTATTAGTGAATTGTTCGACATAGATTTTAAAGAAAGCTAAATAGAAACTAAACTTTCTTCAATTTTATCAGAAAAAAAAAAGTTAACTAGAACTTGGTCTTCCTATAGGTCTTTTCTTCCCAAGTCTAGGCAGATTTTTTTATAGTTAGCATTAGAAAGAAAATTTCCTGCTAACAAAACTTATGTCCCCCTTAGAGTGGTAGAACACTGGGAAATTGTTTTTGCAGTCCCAGATTAAAACGTCAATTTCTTGTATACAGTGCACAGAACTGAAAGTGTTTAGATTTAGAATCAATTGTTAGCTGAAAGTCTCTGTTTTAACGAAGTGGTAGGTTTCAGCCCCCAAGTCTCTCATCTTCTTGTCCCACAGCTAGCACACATGCTAGAAATGACCTCCTCGATCATCAGTTTCCAAATACCTGTCTTGCCCCATCAGAAAGTCTGTAGGAATTTCTGCAGCTGTCTGTAAACTGAACCACGTGCCTCCTAAAAGACTTGGTATCACATCGAGACCCCACACCTTACTGTTGATATCATAGTTTATTCCAAACTGATTTTGCACATTTTATAAGAATATTGAGAATCAGTCTCACGTTTTGTACAATGAGTACGGACTAACAGACATGGATACAAGCTACAGAATGACTGACTGTTGTACTTGTAAGGAACTTTTTCTAACAGAGCTATGGAAATATCATTAAGACCTAAGAGTTCTCTTTTCTTGCAAGAAAGAAAGAATTTTTTTTTATTTAAGTAGGCTAGCTCCTATAGAAAAAATTCCTATACAAGATGGGAAGTTTGTACTTCAAGTTTCACATCCTGTCTGGTGCTAAAATTCTAGGAGGCTGTGCAACATCCAACTGTTATTTGACTTGCTTATTAGCTTTTTATTGGGAACCTCACATAATCCAGAATTGCTTCGTAGTACTGATGATACAAAGAAGAGTGAAACCGGAGGGCCGTGCCTCCAGGAAGTGACTCTTGATCTAACCGCAGTGATGTAATGTGACATGCTCCTTTGGGAGAGCAAGATGTGACAGAAACCTTTCCTGTCTGTGGCTGTTTCTGTCTGGGAAGGGTAGTCAGGAAGAAGAATGTGGCATGTCAAGATAGTCCAAAAAGGGGAGATGACTAAATGAGAGAAAAGAGGAGTCCTGTATAATGGCCAGGCTGTGGGACTGGGCTGGGAAGAGAGAGAAACTGGGCACAGTGAGAAGAGCACCCTATTTTTTGTTACGGGAGCATCATTGGATATTTATAAGCTTCCTCCTGTCTTGATGATTCCCACACAACTGCTAGTGCCCTTGCAGTAGCCCTAGTTCAAACTGGTTGAATAAAAGTATCTGTATTGTTTCTCAGTCATTAAAGTACGTAAAAATGACTATCTTTTATCTCTCTCTCCACAGAAATGTCTTTTTGCCAGAGAAGTATATGATGACACAACTTTGGAGTAATGAATTCCTGTTTACTGCTTATTTAGAAGCAGAAAGATAAAGCTTCTCAGATCTTCTGTGTATTTGGAATATCCTTGGATCCCAGGCCAGGTCTATCAATAACAGATGGGAGTGCATTTGGTAGATGGCTCACAGTGTCTGAAAATCCAGTTCCTTGTAAAGCCTAATGGAATTGGGGGTGGGCAGAGGGTGTAAGCACGTGGACAAAGAAAGGACATTTTCCTGGAGATTTTATGCTAACTGCTTAAGGTCTCACAAACTCTTCTAGTTTTCAGAGTACGGCTGGAGACAGCTTCCTGTGTGATCGTCAGTTCCCAGTGGAAACAGATCAGCCCCTTGGGCTACACACTCCAGCCTTGGTATCTGGCCAGTCTTGCTCTGCTATTTCACTCCCAACATCCTGTCCACAGAACAGGTCCTCAGCTTCTCTTCCTGCACAATTACGTAAAGGGCAGTCTCTAGTTTCTCTCCCTTCCACAGCATGACCATTCCCAGAGTAACCTTCAAGAAGGTTCGGGTTCAGCATGCCACCTTCCCCTTCCTACTTCCTATTCATTCACTGCCTGGAGAATACCCCCAAATGCCAGCAAAGTATTGCACGCGTTAGCAGCCAGGTCTCCTCTCCTTTCTCCCTGACGCCATCAACCCAAGCTGCACTAGACTATGTGGGGGTTATCGTAAAATCTTGGTCCCCTTGGTCTTGCTGCTTCTTGTTTTACCAGGGTTATTTCCAGGTAGTTGTGACTTTTCGGGGGGAATTGCCAAATCAACGATTGAGGTGTATGTGCCAGGTAAGCGTTGTCCACTCCTTGGCAATGCAAATCCAAGGTAGCAGGCCAGGCAGGGTTCACAGACTCTCAGACAGATATCTCTCTGGACAACTCCAGGACAAGCCCCACCCCAACCGTATCTCATAATCTATACATATCCATGTATTCCTTCCACGTATGCTCAACCACCTTAAATTATTGCAGAGGTCCCCCAGGATACCAGTGGCCAGGAATACATAATTATATTAACACCACAGCCCAGGAATACATAATTATATTACCACCATAGCCCATCCCCTGAACCCTCATGCTAATTTATGGTAGTTGTTTTTGCTGAAAGCATCAATTCTTGATTCTTTCTTTTGGCCCAGATGGTCTCTACAGTAAATGTGAATTAATACTCCAAAACCAATCTCCATCCCTCTTCATTTTGGCTTCTTTTTCCTATTCCTTTCTGTTTTGGTGGGATAGCCTTGATATCATCAAGGCCTAGCTCTTGGGAGCTAGGGACCCAACCTCTGGGAAATGTATGATTTCTAACTGGAATAAATTTGTCCTTCCCAGTGTATCCACAATAACTATTTGTAGTCATGGTTTGTAATTGCATTATTGTTAGCTTATGTGCTTATGTCTCTGCCCGGCTCGATTCTACTTTCTTCAAAAAAGGATACGTGGGGGCGCCTGGGTGACTCAGTCGCTTGGACATTCGACTTCAGCTCAGGTCATGATCTCGCAGTCCGTGGGTTCAAGCCCCGCGTCGGGCTCTGTGCTGACAGCTCAAAGACTGGAGCCTGCTTTGGAATCTGTGTCTCCCT